AGCATACATTGGCGCCTCTGGCAGCCGCTATACGGTCCATGTGTGACCTTGGAGCACAGCTTACAGCCAGTTGGAATCAGCTGTATGTTGGTTTTTGCTGAGGGGGGAAAACCGGAGAACCCGGAGAAAAACCCTCGAAGCAGAGAAGAGAACCAACACAAACTCAACCCACTTACAACGGCAACAGAAACCTTGAGGCGTCGGGTCCGGGAATCGAACCCAGGTCACATTGGTGGGAGGCGAGTGCTCTCACCACTGCGCCATCCCTGCTTCCCCGTCAATATAGTGGTGCACATAATAAACGTGCCTTTGATATTTAGCTGAAAAACATTTAACCTGACCACGTTGGCGCAAGTGCTGGCAGTAATTAAGGCCCATTAATTTTAAATTTAAATTTTATCTGGAACCCTGATAGCAGGCACTTTAGGACTCACGCTTTTCCCAGCGAAAGTGAAATAGATTTTATTGGTGTTTATATATTAAACAAAAGATTACATGGCCGCTCGGAGATACGAAATTTCTCTTTCCGTGTTGAAAAATATTTGACTCGTTCTTTGCGCTCACTCGTGAAACTCGAAGGGAAATTTTGTACCTCCGCACGAAAGAGAAAGAGAAAGATAGCCTGCGAGAGCATCCGTTTTTTTTCGGCTCTTGCTTCACGCGCCGAGAAAATGTCAGCTTGCCATATTGTTCTCTATAGATTTAAGTTTAACAATGAGTTAAAATATCGCTTGGTATTTTATTGCTAGTCATTTAATTTCCATGGAAGTTGTTTAAATCACTTTAATAATATATTGCACAATCAAGTCAAGTTAGTATGCTGTATTAGTGTGTAGCCTTTACTGTTGGTACCTTAAGTTCTCTGTCCAGTTCGTAGATTTGTTTCATTCAATTTAAAGATCCCTGACTAAACCTTTTTTTTGTTTGTTTCCTTTATTATTATTGACAAAGTAGAGCTTAAAAGAAAAACTAGCCTTTTTCCTGTTAATGTGTCATTTGAAGCGCGCCCATATTAACGTTTTCCTATTTCCACCAAAACCTCTGTAAAACTTCTAAGTTATAGTCACCGAGTTGGAAAGCCGGAAAAAGCGCTACTGCATTATTTGGCTTCTTCTTTTCTCGTGACTAGCTTGCAAACACAAAAAACGAAACCTCGCTTTTGCTGGGATTCCAGGTTCCTTATAGTCTAGTTCTGGCCCCCTCTCTGTAATGCACTCTGTCAGATAACTGAACTAGGTTCCCTACTACGCAACGCACGCTTGATAAAATTTCTGACACAATAAATCACCGCTTTTAGAGAGGTTTTCACTTCAGTGTCGTTAGACCAAAAGCAAAGTAATCATTCTGGCCAGTCACAAAAGACACAGAAAATCCAAAGAGCCAATCGAAACTTGAAGTTGATAGACGTAGCTGACGCAAAGCGCGGGAAAACGTGTGCTAGCGAGTCACGCTTCGTTTCCGTTCACCTCTGGTAATTTGGAAGATAAAGTTGCAGGATTTTTTTTTTCCAGTCAATCGTGTAACGTAGTAGTGTAAAACCAATTACTCTTCAACTCTTAAGTGAGAACCTCTCTAGTAGATGCAGATCTAACTAAAATCTCACGTGGCGTTTGAGAAACTTTATCATTTCACTTTCTCTTTGAAATTTCAAGCGAGTACATGTAGTCATTCCGACAGCCGATTAGAAGTCTGTTGTCTACTACAACAGGAGAAGAAAACACCTCACCAGGCAACGAGTAAGAAGCTAAATAAACACCAGAATACAGATCCAGAACATACAGAGTGCCAAGAGTTGACCAAACAAACACTGCCATCCCAGCGTCACGCTTGTCATAAAAAGATGCGTGACGAGTAACGCGACCATTTGTCAAGTGCTTCGCGTTGAATTCAGCGACAAAAGGGCTAGAGTAAACTTTTCCATCCGTGGCAAAGCTCCACTGTAGCTCGCCTTTTAGTGATAAGCAATACACACATCTGTCGTGAGAGCCAAACACTAGATGTCCTAAATAATCGGAGCTCGTTGAGTCACGTTCTGTGCCAACATAAGTAGGCGTGCTGAACACCGAGTCACGGGTCTGAAACTGCCATAACAATAGACCTTGAAAATCAAAACAATAAACAGAACCGTCGACGCACGCGCAAACAATACCAGTGGGTGTCAATAACGGTGACGCAAACACTGGTTTGGGACACTGCTGACTCCAAAGAATCGTGTGTTCAGCGGGGTCAACAGCAAGAAGCCGGCCGGTCAACGTAGCAGTGAATACCAAATATGGCTCTTCACTTATGAATGGAGAACTGAAGCATGATCCACCACCACAGTGTATTGCGCAGACGCACTGCTTGTTTGTGACGTCAAGGGCGTATAAATGATGATCATGTGACCCGACCCAGGCCACTCCTGTCTGTGGATCGACGCACGGAGAGCTTTTCACTGCTCCACCGGTTTGGAATGTCCAAAGTGTTTCTCCAGTGAAACGGTTAAATACGTACAGTTTACCATCATAACATCCTAGATCAAGAAACAAGAAAAGAGATGATGAAGTCACAAAATTTTCCTTAAGTCGCACAAGTTAGTACAGAGCCACCTTTTTGAGGGAGATTTTTTTTCAATAAATCTAAAGTGTAAAACAATCTCTAATCTATTCACAACCTTACTATTTTTTCGCAAGCGAAAGCAAAATACATATATAGAACAAGATGGATTAAATGACCGAGAATGCAAGGGAGAGGGTGTGGGTAATCAGATTTTCCCTCCCATTTTGCAGTCGCTCTCGCGCGCTCGCATAACAACAACATTGGATGTAAACAAACTAAAAGAGGAAACATGCAGCCGGAACCGGCCATCCTCTAACTCGCGAGGCACACGCGCGCTCCACTTTAAACAAACGACGACGACGACGGCAACGAGAACGTCACCCAGCAAAAGGTTCAATGAGCATAACAATGGTTGTGCACGTGCGTTATAAATCTTTGTACATTTCTTAGCTGTCCTCTACAACACAACAACGTGAAATGACCAAGTTCTGCGTTGTCCGAGTAGCGCGAACGACGACAGCTAATTTTTCGTACTTCAATTTGGCGTTGAACGCTGTTATTGCATGTTAAGCCCGAGCACACATCGTTAAGACCATCGGCGTACTGAAAAGACCTAGACAGTTATGAACTTCGCTGGTAAAATACAAATTATTTTTTCACTTAGCGTTGTCCTCTGCGTCGCCGTCGTCTTTGCTTAAGCTCCCTAATGGCGCTCTGCCTACCCGACACAGTTTGAGACAAAATGTAATACAGTCTACACTTAACAGTGTTAGTGTATTTTACGCCTTACTTCGTAGACAATCGAGCAAGTTATGAAGGGTTCAAGTAAGCCAAGAATACCTCACCTACTATGACATATCGGCCACATATCGAGAGAGCGGCAGAGGATTCTATTCTGTCCCCGACCCTACTCTCCCACAGGACTTTACCGTCACTGAGTCTGATGCACATAAACACGTGACCGTGGGAGCCAATGAAAACTTCACCCTCAGATGTCCTTTGTGAAAATACCACAAGGGGTGAGGCATCGATACACTTGTACAAACAAGTTCGCCACTGACGGGAGATAGAAACTTTGAATTCTTCACCGAAATCATCAACGGTTCCCATTTCTTGGCTGACAACACAAGTCCCGGGAGATTTACCATCCTCAAGTGGAGCGGGGGACTGGTGAAGGATCTTTTCTTTCAGTGTTGACGCCTCCTTCTCGCTGGACGACTGGACGCTAGTTTGAACAGTCACATGACTAGTCGTGTTAAGACTGGAATACTTACAAAACGAACAAACAGTCCACTGGTTTGCTCTACGCACAGAACAGAAACAATTTTTCACCTCAGATAAACAGAACAAATCATGTTCGTTTGAATCATTATTTTCTTTGAGGTTTGAGTCTTTGATGACAGTCCTGGCTGCCTTGTTATCTTTCAAAGATACGCCATCAGCCAGAGAAAAGGATTTCCTTTTAGCTGGAAGAATTGGACTTTGTAGCGAGGAAACGGTGTCAGAATTCCAATCCAATGGCATCTCTTTATTTCCATCCCCTGTCCCTATCTCCCGAGTATTCACTTCACTAGCTCCATCCACGTGACTTTCACGTGCTGAAGTCGTGTCTCTCAATTGTTTAGTGCTGTCGCGCGGGTCAGCAGTTGCAGCAAAACTATCACGGCTACTATCTGCATCCAAGGGTCCCTGAGGTGTCGCCGTAGAGTCCAGACTTTCTCGTTTGTCGGTTTCAGTGAGTTTACCATCAACGTAGTTACAAAGGGCGTTAAACGATTTGCTAAGAATAACGTCCAACAATTCTGAGAAGTCTGCTGGTGTTTTCTTCTGTTCGGATACAAATGATTCAATTAAATCCACCAATCTCATAGCTTCAAGAGACGACCCACCACAAGCAATAAACATATCATCTTCCTTTACACTCTTTGTGTTTCCTTCACGAAAATTTCCACGCTGTTTTTCCGTAATTTCAGAACTGCTAGAAGTGAATGTTTTCTGTGCATTTTCCGCTTCTCTTACTTCTATGACTTCATTCCAAGCGCATTCCAGAAATTCTGTTGTAGACTTCAGGTCCCCGAGCATTGATGTCTTCTCAACACCAGCCAATAAGGCGCCTCTGTCAATCTTCCCATGTGCTGTCATTGGTAGATGAGAAACCACGTGGACATAATCTGGCCGAGCCTCGACTGGTAACAAGTTCCGTAAGTTGTATTTCAAAGACGCTAGTTTTTCACTATCATACGACGACGATTTTTCAGCAACAAATAAATGAAGTGTGGAATGATTACGTTTATCAGCTTCCTCTAAAACAAGCCAACATGAACTTACGAGGAGCTGTTCCATAATCTGACGTTCAATACAATGCAGATTTATTCGCTTGCCCATTCGCTTGATCTGCCGGTCTCTGCGCCCACAGAACCAGATACTGTGGCCCTTCACGTACGCCCAGTCCCCTGTTGCACGCATCGTTCCCGTGGCGAGAGATGTTTCGTTACCAAGGAGACAAACGCGATCTGATCCACCTGTAAAATAGAGTAACACAAATTCTTTTGGCCAGATATTGGTAGGCTTCTTGTAGACTCATTAAACTATGCTTACTTTCATGGGGAATTATCTAATACACAAAAGCAAGCTGTAATAACATTAATCGAGAAAAAGGATAAAGACAGGAGATTGATCAAAAATTGGAGACCAATATCCCTCCTAAACGTAGACGTGAAAATTGGGTCAAAAGCTATCGCAAAAAGACTTGAAAAGGTATTGCCAGATATCATTCATTATGATCAAAATGCCTTCGTTAAGGGACGGACTATATTTGATGCAACCCGAACAATAAGTGATGTGATGGCTTTTACGCATACTAAAGACTACAAAGGTATTATGACTGCTATAGATTTTGAGAATGCCTTTGACTCCCTAAATTGGGATTTTCTATCAAAATCACTGGAATCTTTTGGTTTTGGAGTGTCTTTCAGGACACGGATTAAAACGTTCTACAACAACTTATCGAGTTCTGTGACAAATAATGGCTTTTCAACCCCTTCTTTTAACCTCGAAAGGGGTGTCCGCCAAGGCGATCCACTTTCGCCTTTCCTTTTTATCATAGTGCTTGAACTGCTTGCTATCTCTGTGCGAAATAACAATCAAACAAGAGTCGAATGCTGACTTCGGAGCGAACACGATCTGGTTGGGGGCGAACTCGATCAAGTTGAGTCGATTTGGGGGCGAACCCGTCATGGGGCGAAACCGGCAGCTACCTCAAAGATGAATCAACGGAGACAAACTATACTAGTAATATTTTGTATATTAAGTGAAACCGTTGCTTTGCCAAGGTTTTCACAAAACTTANAGTTCTTGTCTTAAATGATTCCTTTATAGACATGTTGTATTTTTATCGTTTTTTAATATTGTATTTTTAATGCATATTTTTTAAGATATTAATAGTATGATAATTTTGTATTTTTTAATATATAGTTTTTAAATCTTTTTTTTAACATGTATGTCAAACACTTTTATCATGAGCCCCTGGCTCGGGAGACTTGGGCAACCACTCCCCGTGTTCTTGACGTAAAATAAATTACCTTACCTTACCTTACCTTACCTTACCTTAGTGAAAACCAGCCTTTACATGTACTTAGCGCGCGCGCTCATGCATGACGTGGCGCGTGAATTTGTAAGCGCAGTAAGGATGCGTAGAAACAATTAGCGCAAACGTCTTTAACTGCCTCTGTTTGATAATTCCTGAAAACCAGATACTGCAGATCCTCAGGCGTTTATTTCGTATTTTACATTAGCCTTGTACATACTTTGGATTGAGTTTTTCAGCTTAATACTAACTCACCTATATAGATTTGTCCCATGCCTTCTTGAACAACTTTGCCATTGTCATCTCGCACCTCGATTACCGTGTCTAACAATGGAAAGCCAAGAGGTACATCATTGACTTCATCAATAATGCAATCCTCCACATCTTTACCTTTAAATGTCACATCACCATGACAAGCACCAGAACTGTCCCCCACCAATTCATCAGCAGAAATACGATGATATGAAGCCCAGCAAGAGACCTCGGTGATTCCATAAAGATTGTAAATCAAAGAATTGCTTTGGGGAGGTCTCCACTGCCTGAGGGTGGAGAGGGTGGGGCAAGATTCACCACCAAAGGCTAGCACTCTGAGCGATGAATCTTTATTGAGAACTTTAGTTCTGATCAGGTCTTGGCCTATGTGATACATCAGAGATGGAGTGGGCTGTTAGGAAAAAAGAAACAAACATCTGAAAGGATAGCATACCTGTTAATTACTAGTAGTGATCAGAGATTATGAGAGTGCATTCCACGTCCTCACTTTAAGATACATACCTTAAATAAATGATTTCACTAACTGACTTTCAACCTTGGTCTATTGCTAAAATCAACATTTTCAGCAGCAATCGAGGTTTTACAGTCAGACATGCATAGTGTCAAAGTCCATGCTAGTGAAGAGGTCATGATTTGTTGATACGTTGCATGACGCCGCCAGTTTCTGTAGACTCACAAGTTTCATAGAATATTTAAATTACGTACATTATTCTGAGCTGGAAGCACAAATTTAAACTAGCATTTGCAATTGCGTGCTCATTTATCGTAAACAAACTCTGTGCAACTATTTGGAGTATTTCCCCTGATGAATAAAGTAGACTTTTGGATTTTGCCTTCAGAGTACTTTTCCACCGATTCCAAACAATAAAATTTCAGCTGGATAAAGACTGAGCTATCTGCCGCGACTAGAACTAATAAACAAATGCAATCAAAATGTAGCTGTTCCCACGGTTAACATCCCAAAGCCAAGTTGTGTTAATAGATTAATTCCCTCAAATTTCGATAAATGCTACCGTTGAAGTGTTTAAATTCACCAAAATCTAACGCTGAGCGCATATAATAGCGAAGCATACGGTGACTGAATGGAAAGAATTCAAAGATCCAGTGGAAAGAAGACCTCACATGGCCTACCCACTTACTAACATGTTCGCCACATGTCTTATCAAATGTCTTAACATTAAATGGTACCAGTTTACTGGCCGTGACATGCCCCTGCAAAAATCAATCGGGATGGCCATTTTGGTGTCCTTACAGGAATGTGGATTTTTGTGTATATAACCATGTAAAGGGAAACCACCTCTAGAAAGCCACAGGTCAAAATTATGTTTGCGTTCTTTGAACGCAATAAGCTCAAACAGATAGGGTGGGAAGAATGGAGTTAACAGGTTGGTGGAGTCAAACTGGGGCCCAAATTAAGTCCATGTCTGTCCTCAACACCCAAATCACATTAAAAAATAACATATCCTTACCCTTGTGTACAGTTTAACAAACTGACATCAGGTTTTCACCCTGTCATTGATCATGATATAACAGTGTCAAAGTAGATGTGAATCCCCAAGCTACTTTGACAGTGTTTTGATGAAATTCACTGTCCATAACAGGACAGACGCATGAAAAACTGACATCAATTTGTTTCTTACAATAACAAAAGGGAAACAAAATTATAAATTCATGTGTCTGTCCACTTAACAAAGAAAATTAACCAAAGAGCATGTAAGAATTTCTGCAGTTAATGTAAAATAGTTAATGAAGGTTATTGAAGATTGCTAGACTCCCTCCTCTCGTTCTCCCTTGCTTGAAATCATGAGGGGTTGGGGTATACTGCTGACCACTCAGTGATGACCCAAGGCATTTGAGATGGGCTTGGACTTGAAACAGAAAAGAGAATTACTCACTCAGGTAGAATTGGATGAAAAACTTCTTGGCCCACACATAACTTACATTAATTTTTGCATCCTAACAAGTTACAAGAAAAAAGGGCCTTGATAACATAATAGACATATCCTGGAAACAAAACTGCTTAGCTAATTGCCATATAAATTCCAAACTTACTTGCAAAATAGTAACTCTTTCCTGATCAAAAAGAATATGACAGAGCTTAGAAGGCATGACTTTAACACTGTCAGGTACAAGGACAATCCTGGCTCCTGCTGCAAATGCTACGAACATTTGTACAATGAAGGGATCAAATGTGTAGGGGGACGCAAGAAACACCACATCATCCGATGTTATCTGGAATAAATCCCTGTTGAGCAGTGTAAGAGCTGAGTGAGAAGTACAGTGTCACTCTCTAGTTCAGGAAAGAGGAGAACTTAACCAAAAGGCAAAACAATATTTTGGGAAAATGTATTGTGATTGGCACAGTGATCTAATGGTTAGAGCTCCCCCAATGTGTACCTCCCCCCCCCGTCCCATATCAACCTCGTCCATATTACACATAATTATAGTATGTGAGCAGCCCAGAGTTCCCTGTCACCTCCATACAGGTGGCATGCAGAAGTGCAAACCTCCAAAGAGCAGAGAGTAGGAAGAGCAATGAGTAGAGAGCAGCAAGGTGCACCACCCCATGAAATTTGATCCCTATATGAGGTTTTGACACCTTTCCTAATCTTGAACATCTGTTTCGCAGGGATAGCCATAACTAAGTATGCATGACATTTGTTCTTTCACACAATAAATAATCAATTCAGACTTACATTACCTTAAATCAGTTATGTTTGGCACTATGCATTTGTGCGGTACTTTCACAGCTTTGGCTTCTCCTGTCGTCCCTGATGTTTGCATGATATATGCAAGATTCAGAGGCTCTTTATTCTCTGTATCTCCCTTCAATTCAAAGACCTTTCTTGCAAGTATAAAGCCATTGGCATCAAGATTTTGATTTGTAATAAGCTCAACTCTGGATTTCCTTGGAAAGTTTGTTTTCCACTGCGATGAAATGTTTTGAAATGACTCAAGCAGATCTTTATCCACAAGCACGAGACTGACGTTAAGTTTTAGCAAAAACTTGGAGATCACGTCTTGAGGCCAATTCAAATCTACTGGTGCAAAGCAACTTCCGCACCTCAGTACTCCAAGAATGCAGGCCACCAAACCAATTGACTGTCTGGAATAAATCGCTATTTCCTTCTGTCCTTCGCATAAAATGCCTAAACAATCCGCCACTTTGGAAGCACGGGCGTCAAGTTCCCGATAAGTTGTGTGCTCTTTGGCTATTCCAGAGTTACATGTGGCAGCAACGTTGTTGGGATAACGTCGAGAAGTCTCCTCAAACATGGAATGGAGGGTCATCATTGAAATTTTTGCGGGCAGTATCACTCACAAATCTTCATCAGTACCGACTGCCGTCGTCTTTTAACACCACACAAATGTTCTTCAAGAGATGAATCATTATTTCAAAGATTTAAATTCTGTTTTTGCCACGAAATATTTGCAGGCCGTACTTCACCTTTTCGTCCGCCATGCTGGAGCCCGCATAATCGGGACAGCTGTCCACCGTAAAAATGCAAGCTCATGAGCATTTTATAGAATCGTAATCCACTGTCCAATGAAATGTTTACAACTCCACATTTGAATTTAGACCAAAGGAAAGTCTCCTAGCGCGAAATGAACACATTTCTTTCCCGTTTGAACACAATTTTTGCGTTTACTTTGACAGTACTCGCTGCCCTAACATTCCTATGTTTTCTATCGACGCTTTTTAAAACTCATCAAGCACCTCTTCGTCTTCAAACAAAGAAAGTTTTGGTGTGAGTATACCTCTCCGGCGTTGTCTTCCAAAATTTGAGAATTTCTTTTTCTAACACGTGCGTCCTTCAACATCTTCTTGTTAGGAAAAATGTTCAAGATTTTAGCGTCTCCAAGGACAAGAATGATTTGGGATTCATCACTTTCGATCTTGAGGGAGATATCCTTTTGTTGCTGTTCTTTTAGTTACGAAACTTACCCCCCTCCCCTCAGTCATTCTCTTGTTGTTAACTTTTCTAAATGCTTTGAACAAATAAATTTACTTCTTAGGAAAGTAAGATTAATTCAAACTATTTTATTTAGTTAGATCTTTATTTTTTCAGTTATCTGTTGGCAAGATTGAGTTTGATTTTCTCTTTGTACCATGGATTGTTTTGAAACATTTGTTATATGCCATTATGGGGATCAAGTCTGTATAAATATGTGAGTTCAGTGCACATAAGGGGTATTGGCCATTTCTCCGCGACATGGGGACAAATTATTTAAGGGAACATTTTGCAGGCACAAGACAGATAAATGCCTTGATGCCTTGGGAATGCTAATATTTTAATTTGGTTGTATACTATTACATGAACAGTTCACTTTAGGAGATTAAAACATGTTTAGGGGAGGCGCGGTGGCCTCATGGTTAGTGCGCTCGTCTCCGGATTGAGCGGTCCGGGTTCGAGCCCTGGCCGGGGACATTGTGTTGTGTTCTTGGGCNGTAGAAATACTCCTAGTTGCTTCATGCTACAGAAACCGGGATAAGCTCCGGCCTGATGGGCCACTTGGCTCGCATGCAGACTTTACTTTTTTTTTACTCAAATTTTTAAGGGTGCTATCATGGGCATGACCTTGAACATCACTGCAAAAGACATTTTTATTAACGCAAAAACATATAAATAATAATATTACTATATTCATTTTGTCTGGAGGCCTGTCTGTTCATATCAAATTTTATGTAGAGACCAATGCTTGCCTTAATGTACAGCAGATATGAAAGGAATTTTTAACTGGAATGTTAAGCAACTATTTTTGTATCTAACAGCTGAATACTCAACAAAGAACAATGTAAGACTGTCCCTTTATTCCAGTGTTTATTTTACATGTTCTCTAAGTTAAATGACTGAATGATACTGAATATGTATCATGTATGATATGTATGATGTGCTGGATTGCTAGTAGATTTACCCTTATTTTCATTTGACTTTCCATGTTAATTCTCCTGCACAGAAAGTTAACCAGGTAGTAATCTGGGACAAAATCATCCTACGAGGGGACAATGCACTACTCAACTACCATGGCATGAATACCAAGTACTACTTCTTTGATGATGGGCTTGGACTCAAGTATGTAGGAACGTCATTGTTATTTTAACACTGAAAGTATAAATAGTTCAGCTCACTTGTCCTCTTCGCTCTTGTGAGTGGAGCATAAGACTACACAGCATCAACTTTCATCCATCATGGTCTATAACAAGTTCCCAGCAGGAGAAAATGCATGAGACCAGCTGAGCGACCAGCTGATGCAAGCTTTTTAGCCAGTTATAATTATCGATTGTACTTAAAAAGAAAAACCAAAACCACTCTTGTTTACTTTCAACCCTTCATAAAAAGACATTGAAAGACTCTGAATATGATTTTAATTTGTTCTGTACATAGGATTTCCTTGAAACTACATGCAATCTGAATGAAGTATTTTCTTTTTCTCTTTTCCAGAGGTAACAAAAATGTCAGCCTCTATTTATCATGGAATGTAATTCCCAATGCTGGCATCCTTCCACTGATAACCCAAGAGAACAAGTTCTATTTTGACTTCCCTGATGATTATACTGTTAACAGAGCTGGTTTTGATCATTAAAAAACTATTTAATATGTTTTACAGTGAAAGTATCATGAGTATAGAAGTCCATATTGTGTGCAAAATAAACTTTTCATAGTTTCTGAAGCATAATGTGTAGTTCCAGAAAATATCCATACCTCCCCCACAGAAGGGATTTTTTTCTAAGACCCCCACCCCTCTACATGCCTTCAAATATTTTGGTCTCACAGGACCCCCACCCCCCAGGAAATTCCAATCCCTTCTGTAGGGGGAGTATGTATATTTTCTGGAACTGTACACTGTAGAATGGCAAAGAATTTTAAAGCTGGTAACAACAGAAAGTAAAATTTTGAAATACTCAAACTGAAAGATTTTGAAGCTGGTAACTCAGTAAGGACATTCTGTAATGACACTCTGTTTAGAGCTGTGTTTTGCCCACAAGGGCAGTGGAATTTTCATTGGGGTGACTCATTTAAAAAAAAAAAATTATTAACTAAATTTTCAAAATTGCTTTTTGCTTCTTGCAATTTGTTTCCTTGACTAGTCAAAGAGCCAACAATCAGGTGTAATTTCTCCACACAGTATACTTCAGATTTCTCTCCTCTGACAGAGTCATTCAAGGAAAACAATATCTACAGTAAATGTCATGCAAAAAGCAACTAGTAATTTGTAATACAAAGCTCTTCTGAGTGGCAATGATGTGTTTCAGCTTCATGTCAAAGCCATTTCCAAGATATCAATCGAAAATACTACACAGATTGTATTTTGTTTCATAGATTGTACTTCTTGTTTTTTTTTTTATGGACAGATGTTTTAGGTAAAGAGCGTGTATGTATTAGGACATATAGCAAGTGACTGTGTTTGCATTACATGAGGAGATATTTATAACTGGCAGTATTTCACCATGAAAAATTATGGACTTTCTTAGTTTCTCAGTGGACTGTAGAAGGCTCATTACACAAAAAAATCACAAGCTCGTTCACATTGTTTTTTTCTCTCTTCCCCTTTTTTACATTCCCTGTATCTAAAAAAATACTTTCTTGACATATTTCACAAGAGATATATGAATCATAATCAGAGACACAACATGCCATCTATCATGGTACACCAATGCTTTATAGGTTCAAGACTGATACACCCCAGCTGAAATACAGTAATTGCATTGCGTTTTCTCAGGTAACACAGTCCAAAATAGAGCAATTAATGGTGGTGTATCAGAGCATTCTTTTCAAGATAATTTTTCTCTTCTGGGGGACAGACTGTGAACCCCATTTTGAAACACTTACCTCAGAATTTGATCGTTGTTATATTTTATCACTGATCATTGTAGTGAAAGGTTTAGCAACAGTGCACTGTTACCTGTTCTTTGTTAACATTAAATTAAGTTACCGTTTAGACGTTTACAGATATGTTTGTAAACTGCAAGCAATAAAACACTTGTTGAGTATTCAAGAGTGCAATATAAATCTATGCTTCACCTCCATTGTTTAATGGTGTTTTGCAAATTTTTTATTGATAATCAAAATGTAAAATTATTTCAATAATCTTACAACTGGGATATTTAAATTTCAGTTAAGTTGTGTCTTCACAACAGTTTCTCAGACTGGAAAATCTAGCTTCAGACAACAGTTTGCCAAAAGCGGTTCTTCCTTGGAAAAGGGAAAATCTTAAATGTCAGTAACTATAAAATTTTACAGCTTCCTGTTTGACAACTTGCTTCACACACACTGGCTTGTTAGTTAAAAAAGTGTTAATATTGTCAACTGTGGTTGTCAACAGCTAACTTCCTGCTCTCCGACCCTAACTGCTAAATGACAAAACGTTTTCAATAATTAAAATACCAACATCTGAAATATCTTGTATCGCTTATAAAATATATAAGACCAGAAGAAGGCTGTAAAGTATTATTGACCAAATTAGAAAACATTTCCATAGTTTCCAAAGTTTGTACACAGTAGTAGTAAATGTCTTGCTTTTTAAAAGACGCACCGAGGCTTTGACCAAAAGATGAAAATTGCTTTTAATGATGAAATCATTTGCAAATAACACCAAAACGGCTAAGTTATGTTTGACGTCATGAAAGGTTTTCTTGATTGTCCTTTTTGTGAACTAGAGAACCAAGATTTTCCTTTCTTGGGGGGGGGGGTAAATTTTTGGGTTTTAAGTCCTTTTTCAACCGTTAAAAGGGCTTGATAGACCGTATGAAAACGTACACCACGTATGCTTGGTAATGCAAACAGTTCAGCGTTGCTTTATCTACATTGGTCCAATGGAACACTTACAAAGGTGGTTGGTCTTGATTTTCAGAGACGCAGAGTCACGCTTTTTTAAAAGATCTCGTTTCAGGAACTTGCGTTACACAAAATGCACGGACACGCACGCAAAAAAACACTTTCACGAGCCGAAAAACACGAACACATGACACAATGGTTTATGTAAACAAAAGTTTCCATTGGTTTTGTATAACTGCGTTACACGATTGGCTTAAACAATTCGCAACCATCTTTTCATCCAATCAGAAATAAAACCAAAACCAATCGTGACTCGCTCGCATACGTTTTCCCGCGCTTTTCGACAGCTATGTGTACTTACGTCATTTTACTTGGCTTTACAGATCGTTTTCACGTGACGTCATCACTTTCTAAAATCCAAAACGAAAGAGCCACCAAAGTTTTTGTCCTCATCAGGTACAAGAGGCGGTATATTTATATCTGTTTACAGTTTTACAGCTCAATAGCAGGGGTGACGAATGGTAAAATCCGAGACTTGCCGAGAGGCCGAGACCGTGGTTTAAAAATTCGAGACCGAGACTTAAACGATATCGGAAAATCCGAGCCCGAGACCCTAATTATGCAAAACTCCGAGTCCGAGACGCGAGATTCAATCAGTAACTTGTAGTTTATATGAACTACCAAAATAGCAGTCACAGATAAACGCTAACTATTTAGTTATGCATTAACATTTCGGCCTATCACGACCCGACTTTCAGCTACTTTCGAGGTCACGCGCTGTCATCAACTTCCGGTCAGCTAGCTTCAAACATCTCATAGCTTCTCATAGCTAACCACTGATAATATCTAAATCAAGTTACTTGAATTCTTTGACTTAACCGGCTAAAAATACAGTCCACCGACCATGTTTTCATGCAATTTTAGCATCAAAGCGTGTGCATGGTTATTGTCAGCGGAAACCTGATCAAATGAGCATGCGCGCGGTCTGAGTGACTATAATAAGAGAAGTAAAATTTCCGTATTTGCCGCCGTTTGCGTAAACGCCATGCTTAATCTCAGTAACACTGACTCCGCTCGCTCAAAGCGACAACTTTTGCCGGAGAACCTCTGCTAAAAAAAGCAATTCCGAGACTCCGAGACCTTGCGAAAAAAATTCGAGACTACGAGACCGAAAGAAACACATGAAAAACGAGACTTCGTGACTCGTCACAAAAGCTTCCGAGATTTCGAGATCGGATCAAAAATTTCCGAGATCCACGATTTTCTGGGTACCATTCGCCACCCCTAATACCGTGCTTCGTCTGGAATCCGGAGCATTTTGAATTTCAGGGTTATGGAGGTGCGTGACACAAGGCTATGATCGAGTTTGTCGAAAAATATATAATTATCCCATGATTTTGAGCCTTTTTAGAAGTTAAAGTATTAGGAAAAGTGCTTATGTAAATGCTTGTTTGATCAGTACTGATAATCAGTCGCCTAGATAGCCAAAGTAAGTTCC